TATATATATATGTTTGGTGGATCCTCCAATAACATATGTAATATTAGAAGAATCCAGAAGTTCAACCCATTCTTACAATTTTTACAAAAGAAAATTATTTATTATTGAATTAGTAATAACAAACTTAGTTTAATTCATTATTAAACACATTGGGAATTGTTTTAATATATAGTTTTCATTTTTTTAATACAACTTCTATTAAAAAATTATAAAATAAATTTAATAATATTTCATTAACAAAAAAAAATATAATATAATATTTTACGTTATTTTTAAAATTTTAAATTTTAATATTACAACATGTTAGTAAATAAATAAAGAATATATAAAAATAAAAATATTTATCTGATGGAAAAAAATTTATTTTCATCTCTCTCGTTCTAAATTTAAACAGAGATTTTTGACCTTGTTCGGGATAAGTTCCCACAAAACGTCGACCTGTCGACCTTATAAATTAAATAAATATGTTTAATTAAAATTGAAACTTTCTTTCGTCCACAAAAAGATGAAATAATGAATTAAATGTCGAAATTAATTTGACGTGCACACAAACTATATATATATAAAAGATAAAATGCTGACGTGGACATTTATGTATGGTGGAGGGCCAAATTCATGCCGTTTTCCATACATTGAATTTATCAATTTTAATTTATTTTTGTCAATCATAAAATTTGTTGACTAAAAATACCCAAATTATTTTACGTTTTTACGATAAATAAAATAATTTCTTTAAAAAAATATATCATTTTAGCCTCTCATTTATTTTTATTATTTTAAATATTAACATTTAATTTTAAAATTAAAAAAAAATAAAAACAAAGTTTTATGAGAATTACTATGATAATTTCTCATTTTTAACGTTGTTTATTAAATTGTATAATTAAAAATAATTATGTCGAATTTAACGATGGAGAGGCTGACATCACGAGGTGAGAGCCGTACACGTGTAGGGTGGAGATTGAATGATTTTGGGCAAGAAGATCCTATAAGTAGAGAAGGAGAGGTAGATTCAAAAAACACAGCAAATTCCATTCCATAAAATTTGATTCGAAGTTGAGAAATATTTGTAGTGCGACAGAGAAATGGCGGCTGGCTGCAACTGTGGTGATAACTGCTCCTGTGGAGACAGCTGCAACTGTCAATCTGGGTATCTCTCTTTTACCGAATTTACTTTTTTTTTCGTTTTAGATCGTTAAAAAGCTCGATTAATTTTATATAAGTCGAGTAGGGTTTGAACAAATAACTCGAATTATCGTCCGTTCGAGCGTAGCTAAGATACCTATTACCATCTTAAATATCGATGATTCGATCCTGAACTAGAAGAACTTGATTTACGCTTATCAAGTCAACCAACGAATTTGTTCTAAAAGAAATATTCTTACCTAGTTCGGTACTCGGTTGATTTTTAAGGAGGATGTTATCACCAACTTTGGAAACAAGTATTGGAAAAACTCGATCAGCTCGATTAAATTTGCATATGTCAGAGCTGAGTTTGAACAAAGAACTCGAATCATTACTAGTTCGAGCGTAGCTAAAGTCTGAGTGTCATCCCAAATATCGATGATTTGACCCTAAACTAAAAAAAAACTTGATTTTCCGGACCAACCAACCAACGATTTGTTCTAAAAGAAATATCCTTACCCAATTGGGTAAACGATCGATCTTTAAAGAAGATGTTATCACTGACTTTGGAAACACGTATTGGAAAAAATTTGATCAGCTCAATTAAATTTACATACGTCGAGCTGGGTTTAAACAAATAACTCGAGATTTTAAAACGCATCAACTAAGGAGAGGTTTTCACACCCTAGTAAATAATGTTTCGTTCTCCTCTCCCACGTGTCCACTGGAGAGAATCATCGAGTCAGTTTAGCCCTTTCGTTAAGATTCAGTTTACATAATCTTTACGTGTATGTATATACGATATTTTTCATTAAAACGTGTTCGTAATGTTTGCAGAACCATCACAGCCACCATCCCGAAGAAGTAAGTGATAATTTTTAGTAGTTTTCTTTCAGAAACATCATAAAATCATCAAGAAATTGAACTTATAAACAATAAACCATGCAGGGATGGGTGCAGCTGTGGGAGTGGCTGCTCATGTGACCCATGCAACTGCTAAGTGAACAAGATGCCCAAACGACAACAACAAAGCTTCTTATCCATAGAATAAACAGAATTTGGTGTTCTTTTTCTTGTTCTTTTTCTTGTTCTTTTTCTTGAAATGTGTAGTGTGAAGTGAAGTGTGTGATGTTGCTTTGTTGTGGGTGGGCATTTGGGGTTCATATCAGATCATCAAAGTTCCTATGTGTGTTTGAATTTATGTTTTATATCGATATTTGTTTCGTGTCATAGCTTTCGTGTTCTTTTAACTTCCCTTCTCTCGTTTTTTTTTTGTCTCTTAATCCGTTTATGAATTTAGTTTTTATAGTTTGAAGTTGTGGGACGAACTAAACTTGTCTTTATTGTTCGTTACTTATTCTCCTTTAGAAGGCTCTTATCATTCTTTACCAATTTAAACATAGCTCAACTACGAAAAGGTCAAAGTTTTTTGAATTCTTGACTATTGGGGTCAGAGAATGCAAACACATGCAACATGAACGAGACATATCATTTAAAATCGTATTCTCTTAGATGGCCTTCCGTCTGGGGAAGTTGGATGTATAGTACCTCTCTATACACAACCCATACGTGCAATCGTGGGCCTACCAAGCAGACTCGCACATCCCCTGGGCCAACTAGTCGAGTTAGCTCCTCTGGGTTGTAGTTGGACACCCGAAGGTACAGCGGCCGTTGTGCACCATGCCAAGCATGCGGGTCATTTCAGTCTCATAGTGTCTGCATCTATACTCATAATAAATGGGAAGTATCTCGATGCATATAAACATACAATTACATCGAAGTCCTCGTACTTTTCATTATAAATAAATCATCTTTCATTCCTTACAAATTACAGTTAATATGCATACATAAGTCATTTGGATACATATCATAGCATGTCATAACGTGTCACTGTCAAACATATTCATAATAAATCGTGGCATCTTATAACATAACATAACTCATCGTAACATGAATTGACATTTCATTTCTAACCCAACGTTATTTAGCGTATCATAAAGCAATACATATCATATTATCAGACATTAAATATATCACAAATATGACACGTTCAAGACTATAGGCACGTGTGATCGTATACATAAACCAATTCTTCCAATTAATCGATAGTAGAGCTACTTACTTGGTTGACCTAAACCGAAACTACTACAACCCATTGGTGCTAGTCCTCTCTGAAATTTAATTCTATTTAAAGAGTTCTATAATCATAAATCAGAATTCTCATATGTCAATTGACTCATCTAACTGAGGATAATACGAACTTATTAGATCCAAGTCGAATCAGCTGAAATGCATGTATAGAGCCAGCAGTCAAAAAAATATATTCTCTACTGGCTTCAAACCGTTCAAGTGGGGACCACTAATGGCCATAAATCTAAACTTTTTAAAAATAGAAAGACCAAGTCAACACACTATCGACACCTAACCATATAATTTAATTTAATTATAAATCTAGTTTTTTAAAACTTGCAAGTTTGTATCAATTTTATATTTAATAAATTTTTTAATTTATTTTAAAGAATTATCTGCTCAAATGATATAATAAATTTGATGTCGATTAAAATAATTATAATACTAAAATTTATTTTATTTTAAAAATATTAAATTACAAATTTTTTAAAGCTTTTATTTGAGTATCTAAAGTTTTTTTTTTTTTAATATTTAATATATTTTTTTTAATATTAAATTACAAAACATGTTGGAAATACTCGTATTTAGTCTCCGGATGTTAATTCATTTTTATAACAGATAATAATTAATAATATCAATTAAATAATGGAGAGGGTTTCCATCTTATGACTTTGGGAATTATTTAAATTAAAGAAAGAGGTTCATAAAGGATAACGAAGTATAGGTAGGAACCGTCCACGTGTACGGTGGATAATCACCACCAATTGGGGCCTCAAGAGCTCTATATAAACGGGAAACTTTTGATACTCAAAAACCAGAAAAACAATGGCTTCTGGCTGCAAATGTGGTGATAATTGCTCCTGTGGAGATAGCTGCAATTGCCTCTCTGGGTCTCTCTCTCTCTCTATATATATTTTTTTTGTTAACCGTGCTCGACCGTAGAACGAGCTTTATTATATGCATAGTTCGTTTGTTCATATAAGTTTAAACGAGGAAATTAGAGAGAAAAACGAGAACGTGATTGTGTTCGTTGTTTCTTCTTCGCTTTTCGATTCGAATATATAATCATTCTCTTCTTTGTTTTTGATCTTTACAGGACCGTTAAAGAGACCACCTCCCTAATCAACATGTACGTAAATAGTTATGCGTTAAAATATGGATGAAAATAGAACGATAGTAATAGAAATTTTTTGTTTGGTATCGTGTGCAGGAACGATGGGTGCGACTGCTGCGACAGCAGCTGCTCGTGTGACGGGTGTGGCTGCTGCTGATGAGCGAGCTAGATGGAGAGGAGATGGATGAAGCCCTTGAACAACAAAGCTTGTGAAATGGAATAAAGTTATGGATCAATATGCAAAGTTCATCTGTTTTTGCTTCTTTTTTTTTTTTTTTGTACTTTGTTTGAGTCTATGATGGCTGCTTGAAATCTAGTGTGATGAAGTATGTAAGTGCTTTGTTGTGGGCTGTGGGTGCCTTGTTTTATATATAACTTGAACTTACCAAGTCAAACCTATATTTAGATCGAAGTCAAACCTATATTTAGATCGAAGTCAAACCTATATTTAGATCGAAGTCAAACCTATATTTAGATCGAAGAACAATCCCAAGTTATATATACGTTGAAGTCCAAATTTTTCATGACAGACTTGTTTGCTAGATTAGAACTAGTGCCACGTTGTCCACGAAGTCCAAATTTTTCATGACAGACTTGTTTGCTAGATTAGAACTAGTGCCACAAATTAACATCATAGGAAACGTCACTTTGCAATAAATTTGTTCCGTAAGACATTAAACTAAAGCTACGATTACAGCCTCAACAACACATGTGGCTCTGATTGATGAAGAAAGAAGATATTTCTATCACTATCTTCTCTTTTTTCTTCCATGTTTTAAGGCTGCAACTCTACGAGAGACTAGTTATTCTGCAAAAAACTGAAAAGGTTTGAATAGACTGAACATGATTCCATCGTCTTCAATCACCATACCTTCTTCTCAAGAGACATGAAAGTGGTTGGAAACCTCGGCGCTTAAGTAAGGTAGTTTATGAACTCTGCTGCAGTCGCAACAGCCCCTCCTGTAATTGCATCGATAACGATTTTGTCCCGGTTGCTGTTGCTCGCTGCCGATACCATAGCCCCCGTCAAAGCACCTCCAATCATTGCATTTTTCTGAAACAAGCTCAAACATTTAGATCCCAAGACAAACAACCTATTGGTGATATGCCCAATTAGAAACCATAGCAAGCAGACAACCGTCCAAGCCCACTGCTAACAGATATTGTTCTCTTTGGACTTTTCCTTCGAGATTCCCCTCAAAGTTTTTAAAAGGCGTTCGCTAGGGAGAGGTTTCCACACCCTTATAGAGAATGCTTCGTTCTCTCACATTCAACCCCCTTTCAAGTCCCAACATAACATAATCAATGACGTCACTCGTGTTCTAGGGCGTTACAATATCTGCTAGTGATGGGCTTAGACTGTTACACTACAAACTTCGGGGGGAATTCTTGTTTGAAATAATCCAGACAACTAAGGCCCCAGTTCTACAACCGGAAAGAAACATTGATTCTGTTGTTGTAAAGATATAATCATTTTAATCAGAGGACTATTGTAAGTAACATTGATAATATATCTAGGATCTCGAGAAATTTTGTTTCTGGGTTGTTTGAATTTTCTTCTCCAATCTAGGATCAATACATTCTACAAGGTGAACCAACAATCCAGAACAGTGATGAGAGGCAGAAAATCAAACAGAACTATGAAAATATTCCCAAATAAACACAGAGAACTGGAAGCAAAATCTAACAGAATTACTTGAACTTGATTTAAAGGATGAGTTTGAATTTATGGCAAAACATACCCAATCTCTTCTGCCGCGAATCCTTTCTACCCCATACTCCATACCGACGTAAACTCCGGCCACGGTTCCTGCGTTCAAACAGAAAAGAATCCTTTACCCATCTTTTCAAATGAAATATCACCATTGTTTCTGAAATTATGGCCAGATTTTCTAATCTCATAAGCTTAACTTCCAAGAACAATGAACCAAAAGCAAAATCTCATCAAATTGGCTGAGGTTTACAGATGCTGAAACTCATCCACTAAGCTAAGTACTTCATAGAGGAGTAATGCGATCTATACTTACCCCAGTATGCACCTTCTTTACACATTTTCTTCAACTGCAATAGAAGCTAAGATGTATTAGGCGAATAGATCAAAAGACCATAAAGAATCTATCTGTTTCCTAATTACGCACTTTATGAACATTCTCAGAATGAAAATTTCAGCAATCAAAAGCCATAAACAACCAGACTCCACAAGTTGAGACACGAAGCAAGAGACACTAACCGTGTTTTCAAAATTGTGACTAGAAATCGTTCCTGAAAAAACAAAACAACGCCATAAATCACTGCAGAAAGGAGGAAACCAATTTCTAACAACATGATACGCATCAACCAAAACCTTTTCTAACGACATGATACGCATCCTCGGCAGCCGCTCGGGTAGCCGCGACCTAGAAAGAAGCAACAGAACAGAACGCATTTAGATTATAGACGGAGCAAACGAAGAACAGAAAGAAAAATTCAGAAAAACAAAGAGAGACATACGGATCCGATCTTCAAGAAGCCATCCACGGTGAGGTTGAGGAAGGGGTTGCCCATGTCGATGACGACGTCGACCTTGGGCGTGGATAAGGAACCGACGAAGCCGGTGCGAGGCATGGTGTTGTTCTACAGACTGTGTGAGAGCGAGGGGATTGAATGTGGAGGATGGCGCTGAATGGATCCTTGAAGCTACAGAACAAGGAATTTGCCGCTCCAGATGATTTGATTTTGTTGGGAGTGATTTTGTACTTGAATTTGGATTGTTCTTCTGTTCACCGTTGATTTGGCCTTTTTGTTGCGTGCCCCGAGGCGACACCTCCGACCCCGCCACTCTTGGCCGTTGGATGTTTCCTCATCCCATTACAATTTTCAGCCGTCCATATCTTTCCTTCAATTTCAATTTATTATACCACTTTTATTTTTATTTTATTTAAAATTACATCTAGACAAAATATATATATATATATATATATATATATATATATATATATATATATATATGATTTGGGCCTAATTAGAGATGTTCACGAGGTAGAGCGTGGACGAGAAATGCCCTTTTTCAATCCTCTACGAAATTCTCTATTTATTTTTTTAAGGACCAAGTCGAGACGTGAAATTAAGTGAGGACAAGAACAAATAATATAGTTTCCGTCTCTTAGCCCCATTTAGCTAATTGAGAAAAATTAACTCGGGTCGAGACGAGAAATTGAGTTAGGATAAGAACAAATAATATTGTCTCTGACCTCATTTAGCTAACGGGAAAAAATCAGTTTGAGTCGAGACGAGAAATTGAGCTAGGATAAGAACAAATAATACTATCCTCTCTTCTGACCTCAATTAGCTGATTAGGAAAAATCAACTCAGGTCAGAGACAAGAGATTGAGCTAGGACAAGAACAAATAACATGTTCCTCGTTTCTGACCCCATTTAACTAATTGAAAAAAATCAGTTCCGATCGAGATTAGAAATTGAGCTAGGACAAGAATAAATAATATAATTCTGATAGGGACGTCTTTTTCATCTTTAATCTTTTAAATATTTATTTAATTCTTAAATTTTACAAAATATCTTAAAATTTTTAATTTTGTGTTAAATAAATTTTCTGTCTCAGACACAAAATTAAAAAATTGAAGAATTTATTTAAAATTTAAAATTTTAAAACTCCACAAAATTGAAAACACATTTAAAATTTTAGAATTTTTTAATTGATTGAATAAAAATTAGGTTAAAATTTTAAAAAATTAGAATAAGAAATAAAAATTAAAGGAAGATTCCTTGCTTCTATGTTGGAGTGATTTCATAAATATTCCTTTCTTAACCTATGGGACTTCGTTCATGAAAGTTGGTAGAAAAAAAAATGAAAGATAAAAAATATTTAATAAGAAACAAAAAATAATAAAAAACTTTAAAAAAAAAACAATATTAATTAGTAAATATTTAATGGAATTATTTTTTTCGGTGGCTCAATCATAAAATCTACCAATTTTCACTTAATATAAGAATGGTCGAGGTGTTCAAAAATCACGATCAACTCAACATTAAATTATGAAGTTATTTTGATTAGATTTAGTTGGTTCTCGAGTTCCCTTAAAACTAAATTGATTTGAAACGAACCAACCTGAATATTTAGCCTATAGAATAAGGGAATTCTTCCGGGAAGTGTTGCAACCGTAGAAGTCAAGGACACAGACCAAGTTACCCCAAATTGGGCTTGACTTCACAAACTTCCGTGGGTCCGTTGACGTCTTTGAGGGGTTCCATCATAAAAGATGGTCTATTCATCTTCCACTTCACATCAAACTAGAGACATCTACATTACTTGCGAGGTCGGGACACTGTGAGGACTCGCTCTAAATGGAAAGGGATTCTTAGGAACTTCCCATCTCGTTTAATATATATATAATTTTTTACTGTATTAAAAAAATAAATTAATTAATTTTGATTCTCTAATTATAATATCGATTTGTTATGATTTTTATAAATAAATAAATAAATAATTTATATTTAAAAATAAAAATTTTGAATTAACTATTTTTTTTAAAAGGATAATAAATGAATTTTTTTGAAATTGAAACTAAATTACAAATCAAATCCAAATCCATAAATTTACTACTCAATTTTAATATACATTTTGAAAAATTACCCTCAAAATATTTTTTTTAATTATTTAGAAAAAAAATAGTTTGAAAAGAATTATGAAATCAAATAAAATTAAAATAAATATACGTATATAAATTATAAAATAATAATAAATTTGAGTTGGTTATGAAACAAATTAATTTTAGGTAAATTAATTCATAAAACTCATAGAAATTTTCGTTTATTTGATCCGAATATCCAATCTAATCGTAGTAAATATTGTATACAATAAAAAATATAGCTGTAAATTTCCTTTGATATGCTCTTGGACTGATGAACTCGGTAAAACAAGCACTAAAAAAAAGTCACTTCTTGAATAAGGTAAATCTGCTTCTCTCTCGAACCTCGATAAATGAGCTTCTTTCTTCTTCCAGGTCATCATAAGAAACCGCCATTTTTTAGAAACACTAATTATCCATTTTCTGCGTCTAGTTTGGATGCTCCTACTCTCAACAAATTTCTGATCAGGATCGTGGAACTCTAGCTCGAGAAGTAAGTAATTTGGTCCTTGTCGGGTCATTATTGTTTATCCAACCATCAACTTTTAAAATGATAATTAGGGTTTAACCAATTACGAATTATTATTCTCCGATACAACACGAATCAAACAGCGACACAAAGGGCAACGACTCCCGATCCTCAACCACTGATCGATACAAACCTTATGGAAACAATGACCACAACGATCAAGAACTCCACAAATCTCTTCCTCTTCAAACCCTTCAATGCAAATGGCACAGTAGTCATCGACATCGGCTTCCTCCGTCGTTTTGATGTCTCTATAAGCGACCTTCGTGACAATGGAGGCGGCTTCTTCCTCCGCCGTGTTCGATCGAGGAGGCGGTGCTGCTATCGACTGCTGTTGTTGCATAAACTCGGCCCGAAAACGAGCGAAGAGTCGCGTTGCATGGTTTGTTTGCTCAACATCGAGGGCTCTAGTTTGATACTGCATGAGGTGGTTGTGATAGCAACGAAACATGAAGATCGGCAAGAACACAATGATAGCAATGGCGCTCAATACTATGAGACCCATCAGCTCGTGGGACATATTGGGACTCATAAACGTCGTCAGATTTAGGAATGTTGCTGAAATCAGCGGAGATGGAAGAACATGGATTGATCGATTTAATTGTTATATATATATCTTATGTGGGAATTTGAATTCCTTTTAGGATTTGGAATTGGCGTATTAATTTGCACAAATAATTTTTGATATTTTATGGTTTAAGATAAAGATAGGATTTTATCGACTTTGAAATTTGAAATTTGTGGCTGTACATCTCAAGTCCACTGCTAGTAGATATTGTCATTGTTTAGCTTATATTGTCCTTGTTGAAGCCCACAGATATTGTCATTATTGGGCTTATATTGTCCTTGTTGGAGCCCACTGCTAGTGAATATTGTCTTGTTGGGCTTATATTATCCTTGTTGGAGCTCACTCCCAGTAGATATTGTCATTATTGGGCGTATATTGTCCTTGTTGAAACCCACCGTTAGTAGATATTGTCATTGTTGGGCTTATATTGTCTTTGTTGAAGCCCACTGCTAGTAGATATTGTTATTGTTGGACTTATATTGTCCTTGTTGGAGCCCACCGCTAGTAGATATTGTCATTGTTGGACTTATATTGTCCTTGTTGAAGCTCGTTATTAGTAGATATTGTTATTGTTGGGCTTATATTGTCCTTTTGAAGCCCACTGCTAGTAGATATTGTTATTGTTGGGCTTATATTGTCCTTGTTGGAGCTCACTGCCAGTAGATATTGTCATTATTGGGCTTATATTGTCCTTGTTGGAGCCCACTGCTAGTAGATATTGTCATTGTTGGGTTTATATTGTCCTTACTGGAGCCCACTGCCAGTAGATATTGTCATTGTTGGGCTTTCCCTTGTGTACTTATCCTCAAGGTTTTAAAACACGTCTATGTTGTGCACGTAAATGGACTTTTGAACCGTCGTCAAATTTCAATTGATTTCTGTGTCACCCGAAATTTAACTCGCAAACTTCATCTTCATGACTCATTTTCCAAAATTTTCGAACTTTTCTCTCTCTTTGCACATCGGTTCCTCCAACAATTACACGCATGTCTCCGTCAACCTTTTATTTTCCGACCACACATACGAAACCTAAATAACATCGACAATCGGCGCGATATATTTGTATATTTCCCCTCTAACCTTTGATATGCTAATACAGAGATTTGTATATTTTTTGTTGAGCTTCTAACCACAACCTTGTGCACTCTCACGTTTTTGGATTTTTTGTGATGCTGAGCATAAACGGAAATACTTGGACGGTTTGAGAGGATGAAACTGTGAGGTAATGTAGATGGTTTACCAATTTTTCTCCCGTGAAATCGACGACTCATAGAAAATCACGAGATCAAAAGTTGAATTTAGTAGTTCTTAAAAGTTCTCAATTATTTTCTATAGCTCAACGTTAAATACGAAAATAATAAATTGGGAGAATTAATTTTTTAAAGTTTTGGTTTTGTAAAATATAAGCTCTTAACTATTTTAGTTTGAGCATTAACTTTTTTATTGATTTCTTCGGATTTTGTTTTTGATTTATTTTAATTATCGGTTTAATTATTATTTAATTTTTGTGGAAGGGAATTTTAATCGAATTTATTATCATAGATACTCACCTAATTTTATTTAAATTCGGTGTTTTCCTTATCTTTCAAATTTAAAGCCTGATTTTAAAAAAATTAACTTTATTCCAAAAAAATTACATAAATAAATAAATAATGAAATAAAAACTTTAAATTTAACTTACCTAAAAATATTTTCACATTAAAAATGTATAAATTTCCTTGCCCTAATCTTACAAGTTCTTTCGATATCTGAATTAGGCTAAACAATAAAGTTAATAACTTGATAACCTAACCAAAATCATAAGGATTGGGTTGAATTAGATTTTTTTTCTATTTGAGTTTGGATTGAATTTTTAAAAATTAAAAAAAAAAAGATTTGATTCAGATTACAAGTTATTTTTTTGGTCGACTTAAACAGACCAACTCGAAAATAGATTACAACTGTGTTAGTGATGCATTATTATGATTAGAACTGTGTTAGTGATGCATTATTATGTAAATATTATTCAATATTTGAAATTTAAGATTTATTTAAAATACATTGTGAATAATTATAATTTTTTAAAAATAATTAAAAATAATAATATTAATTCAATGATCTAACAAAAAGGAAGACTGGATTGAGTTGTGAATTTTATTTGAATGACTAGTTTAAAAAGGAAGACTGAATTGAGTTGTGAATTTTATTTGAGTGACTAATTTATTAACTCAATTCCTCAATTCCTTAAATCCTTGTCTCAATTAGATCTTTAATTTGAGATAATATGGGCAATTCTGAGAGAGTAAACTAATTTTCAGCACTAAAAATTTGAAAAGAACAGGTCAATAAAATGGATCCATAAACAACTACAACACAAACAAACTATGATTCTCTAGAACTAACAAATCAATCAGTTTTGATATTTCAAAATCATGATGGAACAAAACTCAAACAGTTGGTTTCGATTCAAGAAAGGCTAACGATGAACGATGAACAATGAACAAATAAAATTATACACAATTACGAACAAAAAGAAAAATCTAAATCGCAAATAAATAAAAGAATGTTTCAAGAGCGATGAGCAAAAATGAAACGAACATGAACAGGGGAACGACAGAGAGGACAATGGCGTTCATTAGGAAGCCATTGATCGATGCAAAATCGATGAAAAACGTGTTTGCATTTTGGAAGCATTCGACAAATCTCACCTTCTACGAATTCATCTAAGCAAATCGAACAATCCGCATTTTTCCCTACCATTCCTCGCTCTCCGTATTGAAACAGCCTCGTCGAAATCACCGCCGTCGCCCCTCCTCGATCCTCTCCAGAAGATCCTACCGCCGACCTTCCGCCTTCGATATCTCGGCTTCGATTCCAGTATTTATGTTCGTAATAGGTGTAAATGAAGTACATGATCGTCACCGCTAGAATGAACAGTCCGGCGAAATTTAGGAAGTCGAGATCCACAGTTGATAGAACGTCGACGGATAACTCCGGTGAAGGTGGCGGAGACATGGTTGTTATAGCCTATCGAGGAGATCGCCGCCTCTGGTTTTTACTGCCGCCGGAAAGATTCTGAGAAAATTTTCTGATCTTTTTCATTTGTTTTTAGTGATGCGAATGAGATTCTTAGCATTCATCAGAGGTCTTCTTATTGGGCTTCATTCATAACCAGAGCCCATCTTGAGGGCCCACCACAAGCCCAGAATCAGTAAGGGTATTTATGTAATTATATAATTACATAATTTAAAACATATATATACGTATAAATTCGTATTTAAGGGTATTTATATCATTATTTATTATACCATTTATGAAAAATCTTTAGAAAAAAAATAATATCTCACTTAAAAAGAATAAAGTAAAAAGAATATTTTGAAAATAAATAATTACATTTTAAAATATAATATATTTTTAAAACTAACTACAAATAAATTTGTAACGACTCTAGATTTCTACTCGGAGTTTAAACTTTATCATAAAATATAAACTTCATCTTAAAACATTGTCATAAACTTACGTGTTCCAAAACATCTTTAAAACGACCTAACGAAATATTAAATGAAACAAATAAGCATTAAAATTAAAAACATCATATTCTAACATAAGTTTAAGTACATGCATGTGTATGGCGGTTGGATGATGAAAGTCCCACATCGACTAATTTAGGGAATGATCACAGGTTTATAATAAAAGAATGCTCTCCCCATTGACATGAGGCCTTTTGGGGAAGCCCAAAGCAAAACCATGAGAGATTATGCTCAAGACAATATCATACCATCATGGAGAGTTGTGTTCGTTTAACAATGGCATGTATCATCATACAAGACCCATTTTTAACACTAAGTCCAACTACATTGCATTGCCCGAATCCATGTTGTAGTATATTTGAAAGAGGTTGACCTCACGGCCCCCGAGCCCCCTTTCTCCTCTGTCTGGTGCCAACAGTTCATCACGGAAGAAAGAACTCACTCAACCGAAATCACTAACTAATACTAATAGAATAAAAAAGACCATGAATCAATTAATTATTTTTTTCAAATTTATAAAGAAAAAACGTTTGAACATTCCAGATTTTGGAAGGTTCTCAGACCGCCGTACGACTTTCAACGCCGATGGGAATCATATTCCAATTCTAGTATGCCTAAACTTTTTTTAATGTATAAACACATCTATTCCAAATGAAACTTTCCGAATTCCCTCTTTTTTCGCATAAAAACATTGAAAATCAATCAAATCTTCATCTTCCCCGTCTTCCCCATCTCCTCCGCCGCTGCCGGAATGTTTCAACTAACGATGAGGATAACAATCGCAAGCGGCTTCATGTTGGTGGCGGTGGTTTGTGCTCTAATGATTGCGTTTATGTTCATTTTTCATTATTTTTACCTTCAACCCCGCCGACAGATCCAAACCAGAGTCCACGACTCAGAATCAAATTATAACTCGCGAGGAGCACGGCGGCAGACAGAAGAAGATTCCCCGGCCGCCGCAGTGACGATCGGAGCTGCGCGATATGCATGGAGTGATTATTAAGCGTAGAGGGAATATTTTTCATTGTTATTTAACTCCTTCAAGCTTTACATTAATTGAGTTTTGTATGTAAATTATATAAAAAAAAAAACACCAAATCTCACTTTTGTTTCAAATTAGTAAAACACCGCCACACCAACCACCGCAATACATGCGAGCGCCACCGCCCCGATCATCCTACTGGTCATCCCCGCCGATTTTTCGGTTAACTTTTCTTCATCGAACGGGTAGCTGCAGGTCTCATAACCTGTAAATTCCATTGAAATTTTAACCGGAATTTAAAGGGAGAAGAAGAAGAAGAAAATCTTACTGGGGTCGGCGGCGGTGAGGATGGCGGTGTTGTTAAAGTCGCAGTTGAAATCATGGCGGCCGGCGGACTGAAAGTAAGCGTTCATGGCGTACGAAGCATGTGACCGGACTGTATTGGGATTGTAGCAGGCCCCGCCGGCTTCTATGGGCCCACACTCCACTCCGCTGCTACACACGTAGTCAATATTCTTCTGCAACGCTTCATCTGACACGTCCGTTTTCGGCACGCACCACTTCCTCCCCACATATAACGGTTCTGGTGCGTGTGCGTTTGGAGACGTGGGCCCCATTGACTGTTACATTAAAATCAACGGTTAAGTTCGTCTGCAATTCATTAAAAAATAAACAAAAATAGAAAAGAAAAACAAATTGACTATATTGCCATGATAAAAAGAATAAAATGTAGGGTAATTCCGTCCAAATAGAAAAAGAACACGTGGCTTTGGCTTTCTTGGACAGCTGGCTTGGTGCGACTCCTACGCGTCGATTTTTTATTGGTTGCAAAACAACAAGCTTACAGGTAGAGCCATAAATCAATTAGGAATCAACACGTGTACATGACCAATGACGTTCTGTTTACTACGCGTGTGCTTGATGTACATTTACTAGAATGCCCCCGCCGTATTCGGACCTCAGTCCGGCTAAGGCGGTATGGGTTTTTTCTACAAGGAGAAGCGGTTTACCGGTTGGTTCAGGATGATGCCGACGTCGTAGACCGGAGTTAGATCGGGTTTGAAAAGGCCGTAGTTCCTCTCAGAAGCCGACGGTTTGAGATTCTCGTTGAAAAGAGCGAAGACGTAAGTTTCGAAGGTTCTGTTCGGCATCAATGGCGTTCCGATACCGGAGTTGACAAGCTTAACGAGATTCCGGTTGTACGAAATGGCGTTCTCCATGCTCACGCCGGGTTGATTTGGGTCGCCGGCGGAGGGCCAACCAGTCTCCGCCACCACGATGTCCACGTCGCCGTAACCGAGCTTCTTCATCGCCGAGTAAACCGCATCCAGCTGCGCGTCGAACATGTTCGTGTAGTGCATTCCAGTGACGTTGTCGAAAACCCCGGCGTTGGGCTTAAACAGCGCGAAGTCCAGCGTCGCCGGTCTGAAACTAAAAAAGGGGTACGGATTCACCATGAACGGCGTCTTGGTCCGACGGTGAAACTCGAGGATCGGAGCAAATATGACACGGTCGTACCCCCGCCGGAACCGCCCGTTACTCGGCGGCTCCGACGCCGACAAAATGCCCAACGAATGAGGGGTTGAAACCTTGATGTCCGAGATATTCGCGAGCCTCAGAGCGGAATGTAAAGCCTTCATCGCCGGGAGCATATGCGCTATGAGATTCTTATCGGAAGTGGCGAGAATCTCATTCCCGACGGCGATGTAGTTGATCAGAGTGTTGGGGTAAAACGGAAGAACGTTAATGGCGACCCAAGACTGAGCGGCGGGGAGTTTGGCGAGGGTTGGAATGTCACCGTTAACGACGGAAATAGTGAGGGCGATGCCGGTGCCGGCGAAGGCGCGAAGGATATCGGGGTTGGCGTCAAAGATCTTGACGCGATCGATGGAGGTTTGGGATTTGAGGAAGGCAGCGACCTGGAACGGCGGAGGGAGGTTGTCGGCTACCGTGCCATAGTTGACGCCGATGGAGTAGGCGGCGGAGGTAAGTCGGAAGAAGAGAGAGAAGAGGCTGAGGAGGAGAGGGAAAAATGGAGAGGAAGCCATGGTGGGAGTTGAACAGTGAAGTTACAGAGAGGTGGTTATTGAATCAAGGAAGAAGAGAGGTGGTCCCCACGCATATAAGGATTCGTTTGGGCCCTTCATCGGCCCATTGATGAATAAAAATGGGCTTTTAAGCCCAATTATGAATTTTTGTAACGTTGAAGTTGGGCCAGGCCCATAATCGGTTCATTGATGACTAAAATCTTTGGGCTAATCAAGTAAATAAAAATTAAATGGGCTTTAGGCCCAATGAGGAATTTTGAATTTTTGAAACGTTGAAGTTGGGCCAGGCCCATTATAAAAGTGGGAGCCGCAATAAATAATCCCCCCGTCTTCTAACGTTCACTTTCCCTGTTTGCTTCTTCCTCTTCGTCTTGCAAAGCCCCGACCCACATGTCTGCTTTCGGAACTTCGTTATCGGACCCCGACTGGCCCCGCCGAGATCCGACCCGATTCAACTTGCCTTTCTCCAACCACCTTCCGCCGGACCCTCTCCTCGACGCCGGCTCCTTCATCGACTCCTCCGCCGCCCGATGTGGAACCCTTCCTTCTTCCCCTAACCACTCCCGAGATCTTGACCTGAATCATCGCAAGAAGGCGGAGACCTCTTCCACTCTCCGATCTCCATTCCGCGCTGACCCTCTCAACGCTGGAAATGGAGATTCTCCCGCAACTAAGAAGCTCTCGGGCTCCAGAGGGACTGACGCGTCTCCGAAATCCGCTTCGTCCGAGAAGCCTAATTGGTTGCCGCCGGGCTGGATTATGGAAGATAGAGTTCGCACCTCTGGTGCTACAGCTGGAACAGTCGATAAGGTGAATTGATTCCTTCTCTTTTGACTAGTATCATTTCGATGTTGAATTTTGAGTTCCTTTTCTTGACTGGCGTTCTTGAGTTTTGGAAGATCGTGTTCAAAGTGGAGATGAGTCATTTTTGGTAATTGTTCGACCATGCAAGTAATATTCTGTTCCATGGCTCAGATTACTGAACTTCTCTATGCAATTTAATGTCCGATGATAGAACAGGGCTTTACCGTCGCTGGAATTTTTTTTCTTCTACTCTAGCCGTTGGACTCTTGGTTTAGATTTTTCTACCAGTCAGGAATGATTTTTCGGATGAAAACATGAACCAATTAGAAGAAATTATCATTGTTTACTGAAAATGATCTTTTGTTTGTGCTTCAAGGGGTTGGTTGTAGTAGCCGTCCCTTGTCGATCGTTCTCTCATCAATTATGGAAAAAAAGAACTGAATCAAGTAGTAAAGGGTTTAGTAATTACTTCTGGAATGTGATCATCCGAAAAATGGATCACTACCTAAATTCTCTGTTGGGGATTGCAGTTTTAGTTACCTGATTGGGAATTTTTGAAGTTCCGTAGGACAAGTAAACTACAGGAATTCATTTCCTTCCTCTCTAAATTTGTTTAGGGAATTCATTTCTCATTTATTTGGTGAGTTCATCTGACAATCCGAGCGATTTTGTCGTGCAGTTACGATATCGAACTATCTTAGTCCTTTTCTCTGGATAGTGAACAAGCCTCGACGAACTTTGATGTAGAGTTAGGTGCTTCTTTGGATTTTTGGTACTCTAGCTACTTACCATTTATATGAAATCAATTAGCATAACAGAGCTTGGTTGATTAGGATGGAGACTATCGTTGGAAAAGGAATAACAAAAGCCTCCACTGTTATGTTTATAGCCTGTTCATAAATGATGAAGATCAAATTGTAGGATAGTATTTGGAACTGCCCAAGCCCACCGCTAGCAAATATTGTCTCTTTGGCCCGTTAGGTATCATCGTCAGCCTCACGATTTTAAAACGCGTCTACTAGGTAGAGGTTTCCACACCCTTATAAGAAATGTTTTGTTCCCTTCTCCAACCAACGTGGGATCTCACAATCCACCCCCTTGGGGCCCAACGTCTCGCTGGAACACCGCCCGATGTTTGCCTTTGATACCATTTGTAACAGCTCAAGCTCCCGCTAGTAGATATTGTCCGCTTTGGCCTGTTACTTATTGCCGTACCTCACAGTTTTAAAATGTTTCTGCTAGGGAGAGGTTTCCACACATTTATAAGGAATGTTTCGTTTTCTTCTCCAACCAATATGGGATCTCACCTCTGTATGCATGAGGGTGAATAGCTCTTGACTCGATACTTGGACTGTTGCTTGGTGCTTGATATATGATGCTTCACTAAGAGTCATGTTTGAGATGGATTATACCTTAACTTTGTATTCATAAATAGCTCTGTTTAAAAGCACATTGACATTGTCGATAGACAAAACAAATGCAAGCAATTAAGTACGGTCACAAGTACCATTTAGCATTTAATGATTGACTACGAGTTCGAGTGTCGTTTGAATTGAGTGTTTTTTTTTTCTTTTTTTCATGTCACGTTGAATTAGTTGGGAGCATGCTTGGGCCCATTTATTTCTTGAGATTCCCCTTTCTTATTATCCTGCTTTACATATTTATTAAACAAACAAACGGTAGAGAATGTCAAAGGAATCTAATCCATCCTCATGTTTCTTGCAGTACTACTTTGACCCAGTTTCAGGTCGTCGATTCCGGTCTAAGATTGAGGTTCTGTACTTTCTGGAAACAGGAACATTAAGGAAACGTAAGAAATCGTTAGATGGTAATGGGATGGTGAGTCGAAAGCTAACATTCCTTCTTTTGCACCCAATGGGATATTCAGACCTTCTCATACGTTTTATCGCTTCGATTTACAACTGCAGTCTGCTGATGGCCCCGAAGAACCCAAGAACAAAAAATCTTCCAACAATGCTAAATCTGCTCCTTTAAACTTTGATTTCTTCAATGTGCCTGAAAAGGTTGAGTGGGTTCTCACAGACCCTTCTCAGGAGGCTTGGACGCCGTTCATCAACAACGAGAAAGTACCCCAATCTACTAAACGCGAATGGGTAGCAGCATTTAAACTCCTCAGCCGATCAAAAGTTTGAGGTTTGAAGGCAATTTCATCCCTTTTGGACACTGTTTGGGATACCCATTCAGGTCAGAACCATCCTCCCTCCCTCTAGTGGCTTCCTATCTCCAATTCTTTTGGTCTTTTTTTTGGATGGAGCAGGTGAGGTTGAGGGGGAAGTGTTGTGAAAACCAGATTTGGTTAGAAAAAAAAACATGAATCTATCAAACTGACTATGTCTTGGACTGTGAAGAAGTGATCAATTTTGTGTAGACGAGGGGCGGCTGAGTTCATTATGAATCAAATGTATTTGAACGAGGGGCTATTTCATTTTGGTTCTTATGGTATTGCTCTTCATTTTGATATATAGATCTGGATTTGTTTTATGATTCAATGTTCATAATTTTGTGGTGATAATTTTGATGTTGTTCGTAAGTTAATTCCCTTTTTTTTAAAATAAAATTTGAGGAAAGATTCATTTTGCTTACTGTTCTTGTAAATCTTAACCTTAGATTTTCAATTTCACCCAATTAACTCCTAAACTCTTGATTAAGGGTGTAATTAATACTCTTAATTAAGGTAAGAGTTGAGTTTATTTGTCTCCGAGTATTATGGTTTGATCATTTATCTCAGATTGTGGCCAATCTTTCTAACGGCGTGCTAGATGGACTGAGGGCTTGAAAACTTATCACTCTTTTGTAAGATGTTGAGACGTCATATTACACGAAACTATCGCTTATTATCGCTTATTCTATAATGTTGTCACCTAACAGCCCACCTAGAAGAGCGTGTGAAAACTTATTGCTCATTCGTAAGGGCGTTGAGACCATGATATGTTACACGAAACTGTTGCTTTCTTTATAATGTTGTCACACAGTAGCCCACTAACCTATAAGAGCACATGAAAACTTATCACTCCCTCGTAAAGGCGTTGAGGCCATGACATGTTACATGAAGTTGTCGTTTACTCTATAATGTTTTCACACAGCAACCCACCTAGAAAAGTCACTCGCTCTCAGCCAAAAGAGCGCATGAAAACTTATCACTCCCTCATAAAGGCGTTGAGGCCATGACATGTTACACGAAGCTGTCGTTTACTCTATAATGTTTTCACACAGCAACCCCAACCCACCTAGAAAAGTCACTCACTCTAAGCCAAAAGAGCGCGTGAAAACTTATCACTCCCTCGTAAAGGCATTGAGGTCATGACATGTTACACGAAGCTATTGCTTACCCTATAATGTTTTCACACAACAACCCACTTAGAAAAACCACTCGCTCTCAGCCATCTAAAAGAGCGCGGGAAAAATTATCAGTCCCTCGTAAGGGCGTTGAGACCATGACATATTACACAAAACTACCGCTTTCTCTATAGTGTTGTCACATAGTAACCCACCTAAAAAAGTGCATGAAAACTTATAACTCCCTCGTAAGGGTATTGAGACCATGACATGTTTACACGAAAACTGTCACTTTCTCTATAATGTTGCCTTAAAACTCCCTCGTTCTATAGTATTGTTGCCTTAAATAAGCATGTCCTCCTATTGCTTTCGATCAACCATTCACTCAACAACAAAACATCGATTAAAACAAAATAAAAATTTGTATTTTGACAAATATAATTTTACTTATAAATATGTTTTTTTTTAAATTAAAAAAAAAATGTTAGGTAAAACCTACTATATAATATATACCCTTAATTCACTTCATATAAAATGTCAACAGAGTTAGTCAATCTTTTTGGCCATTGTCATAATCTCCAACTCAATCACCTAAATTGGTCCTTTTATTTTCATTTCAATAATCTTAACTTTTTGACTCATTCAATGTTTTTTAGAACAATATATATTTATTTATTTATTTATCTATTGAAAATGGTAACATATTCCAATAATTTGTTTTTACCTATTGACTTTTACTGGTTCAAAGGGGTAATTATCTCTCGATTTATCACAAACGAAAACAATCTTACGAGCGTTGAAAATAATTACCATTGTGTTGATTTGTGGGAATTTTTTTTTGCTCTTTTAATGTATGGTTAAAAATATATGAACTAAGTTTAATTGAAATATCTCTGTCTAGAAACCAAAGTAGCGTGAAATTATTATGGTTATTTTCGTATAATCAATCTTTTTAAAAAGGGAATGTCCACTTTTTTAATTATTGGATTAACGTGTTTCAATAAAAATAAAATTGCAATATTAATGCTTTTTTGTGTTCAAAATAAAAGCAAAAGGACTTCAAAATGCAATA